TCTCAGAGACATGTTGTCAGTAGTTCTTAGAATAAAAGAACAATGTTCATTTTACTCAAATATATGCCTATAATAAGTCAAATTAGAAAAACTGATCATTTTAAGTGGTGTCTTGATTTTTTTCCAGAGCAATATATATATGGAAACAGAACTGGACTCTGCAACATTAAAGTGATTCCAAACAAACCAGTAAACCCACCAAGACCCGGCAGAAAATTAAGACATAAGAAGTCCTTGGCAAATTTTTTTTTTTATTCTGATAATATATTTTGTTTGGTGCTTATCTGTAACTGAATCACTTCATTTCACGTCATCTTTGCTTACATATCCTACCCACGTTTCCCATCTGTATTTAATAACTTACTTTACAATAACTTCAATAATATTTTCTGGTATTTGAGAAAACTAATAAGAAAATTATAAAAACAGTCCTTCCAACCTTTTTGTGGGGGATTAAGCTGTATGCATTCGAAAACCTAAATTTTACTTCAATATCTGACCATGACTTTCATACATAGTGCTCTGGATGACCCAGAAGCAGGGCACAAGACACAGGAGGTTAAACTAAGCAAAAAGACTTTAATGAAATTTTCAAAGAACAAAAGAGGCTGCAGGTGCAAGGAACAAACAAAAAGTCCATATGACAGGCAATCCAAGCATGAGTCCAGGGAACAAATAAAAGGGAGATGAACGGGAGCGGAACGCAAGAACATGACAGCCTGGATGAACAGTCACACCAACAAAGGCAAATGAGAGAGATGGGACTAAATATGGACAAGGGTGAACAGATGCAGATGGCAACATTTACCTCTAAGCAAACAGGAGGCAGGCAGTGGAAGGTAAACCAGACAGCCCACATATTAAAAACACACAAAAGAGGGGCAAGAGAGCTAATTACAGAGTCAGAGACAAGAGAACTGTCACAACTTTGACAAAGCCTGGACTTGTAAAACAAAAACTTGATAAATTTGCTTAAAATTTGTAAATAAAACAATAAAAGTGATGATAGCTTGCAGAAAAACCTTGGTGGGATACCGATGGTCCATCAAATTTTGTAAATGTATTTAATGCTTTTTCTGTTCTTCGGGAGAACCGGCGCACATCACGCACAGCCACGCAATGAGTTTGACGATGATTTGATCAGCTGTGGCGAACTCAAGCATCAACGAGATACAAGATTAAAGCCTGAGTACCAGCGAGAATCTCGTCTACTTCTTTCTTCCTTGCTACCTGCTATGTGCGACGCATAATAGTTGGACTGTAAATTCAAACAAGTACTGTTTATTAACATCATTGTACGATTGGAAATATGGTCAAATAAGAAGCAGTCACATGTGCAGCATTTGTTTTTCAAGCTTAGGTGTTGCAGGAGGTGTGATGCCATGTGGGAAAAACCTTCAACTGAAAATGAAACCAAACAAATTGCTCTGGGATGTTTTAAAGCAGCTTAGTGTGTTAATGATTTTTTTTTAAGTTAAAAGAAAGAGCCGTCTGCAAATAAGAAAAATATACTTTTAATATCTCCCAAAAGTATTCACCATCCTCCATACACAGCCTTTCTACATCTTGTTGCCTTTGTTATGTTATTGGGATGTTATAATAAAACAGCAACATGTAGCCTAAGTGAAAGTTTTATTCTGTTGTTTTTTGTTTTTTTTTCTAATAAATTTAATTCTTAAGTTTATAAAGTGCGGTTGTATTTTAGCCACCTTCTCAGGAATTACAGTTGCAAGTTTTTTTTTTTTTTTTTTTAGGTATGTTGGTACAAATAAGGACTAGAAAGACTTGAAAACTGACGTTCACAGATGCTCCCATCCGGACATTTTCTAAAGATTCTTAATTGGACTTAGGTATTTACTTTGACTAGGCTATACCAACACAAAATACAGCAGACTGTAGCTCTTGCTGTATGTTTTAAGGTTGCTGTCCTGCTGAAAAGTGAACCTCCACCTTGCCTGCATGACTTGGGTAGGCTTGCAGCTACGGCATAGCCATAACCTATTTTGTTTTATGACATTATGTTAAATTATACATTGGTGGATACTGTTTATAAATTAGCCGACTTCTCCATGCAATCAGTTGCACTGGATTTTATTTAGGGGTGACACGTATTTGTGACTTAAATGTGTCAAATACTTTTGCGGCCACTGTCTGCTTTGAAATAGTTTGACTTGGCTTGGATGTTTTCAGTTCTATGCAGCTTCAATGGCTGCCAGAAGAAACGAATGTTGATGTGTCTGCAATGGAATGAGGTCTACAGTGCTGGTTTTGCTCTTGTCTCCACATTTAGCCAGTCCAGTAATAAGAAGGATGGAGATGGAGGGAAAACACTTTTTTTGTACTTTAACTTTAACTTTTTTTTTTTTTTAGATGTATCAACAGCCAAACAGCTTTCCCTCCAGGTCATGCAGCGAGCTGTGAAATGACATGTTGATCCCATGAATACGTGTCTGTGTGCGTGCGTGTGTGTGCATGTGGACCCAAGGGACAAGAGAGGCAGGAATCCCTTTATCAGGTTGACCAAAGAACTTTTTTTTTTTCTACATCAGCCATCATGGTGAAAGTGGCCCTGCAGTGGAAGTCAAACTTAGTGAAAGTGTTTGAGGAACATTTAAGGTAAAAAAAAAAATAAAAAATAGAAAAAAAAAAGAAAAAAAAAACTACATTTCAAATACCATAAATCAGAAATATGGAGGGCAAAATGACTGCTGAATGAAGGGAAGAAGAACTTAGTGCTGTCCTTTGCTTTAAGCCAAATTAGCATGCGCAGTAGATCTCTTTTATGGCTCTGGCACTGTCTATGGTGCTGAAAAGTTGTGATTACACAAGAGGTAATGTTCTAGCTGGACGGCAGGAAGGAAGTGGAAATAAATCTCCAGGCAAAACTGAGATTTCAGCGAACTATCAGTTTTGTGTTCACCAGATTGGCAGGAACATCTTGGTGGGAGCCCTAGAGGTGCTTGAAAGTGGCCCATTACCAAGGAAAACATGCTGGGCTCCTTTATAGAAGAACAAAGATGAAAGTCCATTCATGTTTTTTTCACTGTATAAACCAAAGGGGGAAAGATCCCAAAATAGCAAATTTAGGTTGTGTTGACAGAACTATAGACAACTTACTGAGTTTAAAGATTGAAAGTACAAACTTATATTTTACTGCAGTAGCTTTATTTCGCGCTGACATTCAGAAAGAAATTGAAACGTAATCTCAGGACTGGTGTCTTAATTATTGCTACCTCCACTCCCCCTTTGCCAATAATGCATCACTCAGGCTCCTATAATATTTTACAAGTTTAGCTCTGTGTAGGAAGGGGGATCTTTAATTATTCCTCTTCCAACAATCTCTACAGATTGTCCACAGATCGGGAGTAGTTGCTCTCGGTCACCGAGTTTTGGTTCAAACAGAATATTGCCAAAACAAACGTTCACTGCAGAATAATGTTACTGAAACAGAAACATGTGCTTGAAGGCTACTTAAGCTGCTTTCCAATTCAGAGCTTAAATCTGCGAATCACACCTCAAGTGTTATGCCACACTCGCATTTGCGGCATTTTAAAATTAATTTTACTCAGGTCACCCAGACTGCCATTTCCAGTTACTATTTGCAGTCTTGATTCTTGGTTATAAGGGACACATCTTGTATTTTCTACTGAAAACACAGTGATTTTTTAAATAATATATATTTCTAATGGATGCTGAACATTTAAAACTGATTTTGTACCTATAATTATTAAGAGCGACAGTCATAATTTGCTTTGCTTGAATGATTACAAGTTTGACGTTTTGACTCATTTTTAAAACTGATTTGTTTAAAATAATAATTCACATGCTTAGGGTAGATTTTTTTGAAATGGTGTTTTGATTAAATAAAGACCTTGGATCATTCTTCTAACATTTTGTGTCAGAATATCTAACATCAGGGTTTGTCACCAAGGGTGAAACATTACATCATCCAACACTTCATCCTGAATGTCTTGTGATATCAGAGGTGGGAGAAAGTCACCGTTTTTGCAAGTCACATGCAATTGCTTTCAACTCTTTCAAGTCTAGAGTCAAGGGCCACGTCGAGTAGGAAGTAATAAAGACGTCCATGTTTGGAGTGGATTCCACCTAAACTATTATAAAGTTCAAGTCTTACCTTAATCAGATGAAGCTTATTTTAAAATAAAGATGTAGTTATTAAAGGGCGAGTTGTTGTTGCGGTAGGAGTTCGTCCATCAAGTTTTGGACTTGAGAATACAGGAAATGTCGCCGTCCGGTGCTACTGTCATACTAAACCGTTAGCACGACGGAAGAGGGAGGTAAAACACGGTAGTTTCCCGGAAGAAATTGGAGACTTCACAGGTATGAGTTCGTCCTCGAAGTCTTGTAAGATCCAGGTGATAAAAAACAAAAACAAAACAAAAAAAAAAACGTTTTGCATTGCTAATAAGAAATTAGTAAAAACTCCTAAGTGTCACATAGAGGCACAGTTAGCAGCTCTGTTGCCTTGCAGCAAGAAGGTCCTGGGTTCGAACCCTGGCCCGGAGTCTTTCTGCGTGAAGTTTGAATGTTGTCCCTGCGCATGCGCCAGTTCTTTCCGGTTTCACGTCCCCGGCTTCCTCCCGCAGTCCAAAAATAATGACCGTTTCGGTTAATCTAAATATCTCTTAGCTGTGAGGGGGTGTGCGTACATGTTGTACGTCCTGAGTGTCTCTGTGGTGGACTGGCGACCTGTCCAGGGTGTGTCCTGAATTGTGCCCGTATAAAAAGACATGTTCAACATTCCAAACTTTATATTAAATGGTACAACATGATTCACAGACTAATTACTGCCATAAAATATATCCGGCCGCTTGCATTAAATTCAGAGTGGAAAACCTGAAAAAGCGGAAGATGTTACTCAACGAATTTTCATTAAAATTCACCAAGAGGCAAGCTCCGTGAGAGGTTAGATTATTGGCGGGCAGGCGCATGGACACACACAGGCGCACGCAGGCACTCTCTCACACACAAACACACACACACACCCATGCACACAAACTTCACAGCTGGTGTGCCTTCCTCCAGCAGAGACTGACAGAAGCAGGGCGACCGCTTTAAGCTGCGAGCGCTCATCTCTCCTCTCCACCACCGGCGCGTCTTTCACTGCTCTTATGAAAAACTTTGAAGGGGTGAGGGGCGAAATGTGCAAGAAAATCGTTTAGGAAAAAAAGAAGAAGAAGAAGAAGAAGAAGAAGAAAAAGAAAGATCAAGTCCGAGAAGAGCGGTGGAGCCGGGAGAAAGAGGGAGCTATGCCATCTCCCGCCGAGCGGAGCACAGTCCTCCTCAGTTGCGTGTCGGATCTACAGCATGGTGTCTCTTTCTGGACTCCGGAGCCGCTGCCTCGCCCCGGGGAGAACCCGTCTCCTTTTCATCTCTGCCAGAGTGCTTCCGCTGCTGCTTCTCCTCCTGCTGACTCCCTTCTCCTCCGCCGAGACCTGCTTCCCTCACCCGGCGCCCTGCCACATCTTGGCACGGATCGGACACACGGTGCGCCTCGGTGCGCTCCTGCCGACCCGCCAGCCGGCGCGGATACAGAACGCGCTCAACCGCGCCCTGGCGAGCATCCGGCACCAAAGCAGCGGGACGGACTCCACCACCGCCTCCGCCCAGCCGGCCCCGCTGCTGCCCTACAACCTGACCCTGGAGATGGTGGTGCGGTCGCCGGCGGGATGGGACCCGGAGTCGCTGTCCCACAGCGCCTGTCAGGACCTGGTGATCAGAGGCGTGACAGCCGTGCTCGCCTTTCCACGCTCCAGGGAGGAGCTGATCCAGGTGGAGTTCCTCTCCTCTTTCTTGGAGATTCCCTTCGTGTCCATCCTGGAGGACACGGAGCCACTTGTGACTAAGGTAAGATCAGTCCCAGCAGCCTATTGCAAATATCGTGGTATTTGTGCTTCGTTTGCGCCTAAAAACAAGCAACAACCCATGCCTAAACATTTTTATCCCCCCCTCTGCCCGCCCACCTCACCACCATTAAACTTGTGGCTTATAACTGGGTTGACACTCGGCAAAGAATCTGCCTGATCCTGTAGCTTGTGGCAGGGATTTTGAGTTTAAGCTGCTGCAAAAACCAGCCAGATATTCAGGGCTAGCCGAGCAAATGAACAGTTTAAGGGAAAGTAATTGTAACAGGGATAATGAGGGTAATTATCCCTGCGCCTAATCTAAAGAATGATTAAAACAATTGTGTTAGGGAACCAAAAAAAAAAAAAACAATCAAAAATGCTGCAGAGTTAATTGCAACAGTAGGCAGCAGTCTTCAGACTCCAATCTCTGTCTTTAGACTCCTTGTTCTAGAAAACTCTGACATTCAGATTGATTTTGGTTGAGCAGCCTGGTGGACCTGGAGGCCCACACCATGTTTAATATCTGATGGAGCAGAATTTGTAAAGACAGAACCCTCAAGGCAAATACAAGATGATTTTTTTTCCCCTCTACCCCCCTTCAACTCCTTAAGCCTTGTTCTTTATTTTTGTGAGAGTGCAAACACAGAAACGGCGAGAGACAGAACAGTTGTTTGTGCTTGTTTGAAAAAAAAAATATATATATATATTTTTAAGCACCTTTCAGAATGAATTCAACCAGTTGCGATGGTGATAGATAGCTGTTTTGAACAGGTGTTGCTCCTGGACCGTGTGTGATCAAATATTTCTACTTCATGTATATGCATGTGTGGCTCTTGTTCTTGTCTTTTTGGAAGAAAGAAAGAGAAAAAAAGTAGCTGGGCAATAAATATGTTTTCAGTACTCCTTCCTAACAGCAATAAGAGCTGCTTGCCTGTTAGTGTTTCCAGCGATTTCCATCTCATTCCCAAGCAAGCAGCCAGCATCATCTGTCACATACATATTTGACTTTATCCAATAAAGACAAAATGCGTGAAAGATATATATATATATATATATATATATATATATATATATATATATATATATATATATATAAAACCCTCACACACAGGTGTCAGAATCTGACAGAAGAGCCTGAAGTAGTGACCTTTTTGACTTTGACGCAGCAAGCATGAAAAAAAAAAAGAGATGCTCTGATCAGATATTTGAACTTTTTCTTTGCCACATGGAAAACACAATGCCATTGTAAAACATGGTGGCGGTTGCATCATGCTGTAGGCATATTTTATTTATTTATTTTCTTAGGGCAGAGTAGCTGCTTAGAGAAGACTGAAATACGAATATAGATGAAGGTAGATGGCAGGAAAGCTGCAGAAGACTTGAAGACCGGGGCGACGGTTCTGTTAGTATTCATTAGAGCAGTAAGAGCGAGTCGCCTGCCAGCGTTGCCAGTGGTATCCGCCTCGATCCAGCCAAGCAGCCAGCTGCATCTCGTCTCCACACCTATTTGTTTGTGTGCGCGCTATTGCATGGCGGCGAGCTCGAACACCCAAAGCCAATCCACGTGTGTGTGTGTGTGTGTGTGTGTGTGGAAGGGGAACTTCCAATTTTCACAGAGGTCCGTTTAAGAGAGGGGGGCACCTTCACTAAACCGTCATGCTGACATGAAAAGTTAGAAGGACGGAGAAGAAGAAGAAGAAGAAGAAATGGAGGCATAATCCACAGTTTTCAAAGTCTTCTGAGTCATGCATTCTTGTCAACAATGTTATGGTTACTTAATCTCAATAGAGCCGACATCAGTGAGAAGCCAAACCACTTGACGAATGGCTTGAAAATGCAAAGAGATAGGCGAGCGAGAGAAGGAGAAGAGAGCAGATATGAGGACAGGGGGTTTTTTTGTTTTGTTTTTTCGCTGCTTTTGTTTTTTTTGTTTTTTCTTGAGCTGTGGGAGGCTGGAAGAACAAAGTTGTGCCAAGCAGGCAGGCTGTAGAAATAATAATAATAATAAAAACTCCTCTGTGTCCTGACGGCTCAACTTTCAATATTTTTAGCCATTATTTGATGCATTGTGTTGAAATCGATCGCTGTTTTTGGTCTTCTTTCATGCTTAAGAGAAAAGTCTTTCTAGCTTTTCATTAAATTCAACCATCCTTTTCTTTTTTGAAGTTTGGAGTTTATTAGTTTATTGCAGGATTTCAGTTTAACGTTTGTCGACTAAAATGCGATGTTTGTGTAAGGTGCTACAAAAGCAGGTGGTTGGTGTAAAAAAAAAGAAAAGTTGATGAACGTGTTACTTTAAAAATATCCAGTAGTATGCGTTTGCCTCAACACGAAAAAACAAGATTTCACAAAAAACACTCCACTGAAGAAAATGACAGCAGATTTTCTCTATGTAAACCCCTATTGTAAAAAAAAAGAAAAAGTTTTCACTTTACTGTTATTAAGACAAAGACTACATACCATTTCATAGCACAATCAAAAGTGCTGCATACCAGTATATAAAACATGATCTAAGAAATTTGTCTTTACATTTTGACGCCCTGAAAATAGGCCTCTGTCTCTTTAAGAAGCTCCTGTTCTTCCCGACACCCCAGCCTCAGAACGCCATTGCTTGTGAGAACATGAATGGCTGGCATTCAAGGATTTCTTAAACATGCATGACATACTCAAAGCAACACCTCTGATATGGAGCTAAAGCGGAAGTTCAGGCTGGAAGACTCCGCCCCCTCCGTTCACCCATCGACGTCATGCTCATCCCCGTCTTCAGCGCTGGTCCTCACCCGGCACGTTCAATCAGCAATCAGGCCCTGCATAAAAGGATCCACACCCAAGCCGTCAGACGCTTCCCAGCTGCGTTCAACCCACCACCTCCCCATCTCCACCCACATCCTTGGTTCTCCAGGATGGCACCCTTTCCTGACCATCACCACCAGTGATGGCCCCGGGGGAGAGCATCCCTAATCAGTTATCGGGATGTTCATCGAGTTCACATCAAATCTCAGCTCAAATCAGCTGCCGGGGTCCGAACTGTTATTCATTCCTGTCATTAAATCTTTTAATTGTTCCCTTTTCTCCGTCTGAGTCTTTCCATATTGAAATGGTTTTTGATGAGTACATAACATCATAATATTATGAAAAGTTGAATAAGTCGATTTTACATTTAAAGACAACTAATTTGATCTTTCCTAGAAACAGTAATATTTTGGAGCTTTCCTGTCAGCCGATTGACCTGTAGTGAGCAGAAACACTGAAACTGCTGAAGTAGCAGCGAAGCATTACTCTGGGTCCTACACAGCTAAATTTTTAGCTTCTTGGTTACCAGGGAAAAAAATAATAAAAACATCTATTTTATGTGTGGGCATAAAAGGCAGAATGGCTTAATCCAACTGCCAAAATATGTTATTGGCAAGGAGAGTTTGAATCCATTGCACCTGCTTATTATAGCACCCCCAAGTTTATTGTTATCTAGATAAATCCCTAAGCTCATAACAGCAATTTGCTTTCCCAGTAGCGATAAACAATTGGATAATTCTCTATCCCGAATAGACTGGATGCTTGGTAGGGCTAATTTGTAGGATTGGGCTTGTTATAAATCCGTCGGCATGGCAATTATTTTTGGCAGATGATGCAACAGCTCTTCAGAAAACAGTCAGGACTTAAAAAATATCTTAATTAAATGTGTTAACCACACTGTATTTTTTATTTATTTATTTTTCTTACTACAGCAACAAATAATTGTTGGAGATTTGCCATAACAACATCTAGTCATTCCAGTCTGGTCTGTTTCATCCACATATGCGTTTCTTTTGTCAAATTTTTCTAAAATCTATTCAGTGAACGCTAGCAAGCTGTGCGCAATACAAATAAACGCTTTTAAAGAAGGAATTTGATTCAAAACGAGTAAATAAACGATCAAAAGAGCTGCGATCTGTTGTCCCACGCCTTTTGTGATGTCACCAGAATCATGTGCAAACTTGTTTTTGAGAGGGTCGAGTTGCATTACAGGAACAAAACAGCAACAGAAATAGAAAAACTAAACGAAACACACTGTTCTACTGGTGACAAACTATGTCCAGTTACGTTTTTTTACTCAAAGTTTGGTTTGTAGCTTTAACTTTAAAACTTTAAAATCGGTGGGTCTAGTCGCACTTTCCAAACGCGTCCGTGTTGCTTGAGAACAGCCACATAATTTAGGGAAATTACGACGAGGCGACGTTCTGGGACCTTAAACAATATGAACTGCAGCAGGACGGTCAGAGCGCCTCTACAGAAAGGGAGCAGTGTGTTCTGAGCAAACAGAGACAGCAAGGAGGTGGGGAAGGTCCTCAGACACACAAACACGCAAAGGGCAGCGATAAGTGGGTTAGGTCAACAGGGAGGCATATTGTTAGCCTGTACAAACAGGGTACAGCACACCAGTTTCGCAGTGAAGCAGGAGGTACGATTTTAATTAAAAATGCAATTTACATTGTAGCATCAGCGGAGAGGAGTGCTCCCCAGAGAGGGGGTAGGGGGGCTGGAGAAAACGGAGGCAAAACAAATGGTTCTGCCAGAGAATGTGCTGGATCTGTCACCAATTGATCCAAATGAGGAGGTGTGTTTTTGTGTTTGTTTATGAAAACAAAATCTATCCCCCCCCCGGGTTCTAACAATTAGGGAGTTTTACGTGACAATGAGAAGAAAAGAGAGGGTGTCGGGAAGAAGAATTGGATATTTGGACACGGTGTTCCCTGAAAGTATCCAAATGGAAGTATTCAATTGTTGTTCAGTGTATCTTTTCAAGGAGTTTGTTGAAACAAATTAGTTTTTGTTCATTTACATGGTTTTCTTTTGTTTGATAAAAAAAAAAAATCTAAACCGTTTTCTACCGTTTTCACCTCAACAAACGTAAAAGCGTTTTACTTGGACTTTCATACAGACAAAGTATTACATAATCGTGAAGTTGCATGGTTTTCCATCTTTTTCACAAGTAGCAAAACTGAAAAATGTCAGCCATTTGTG